TCCTGCTGCAAGCCCAGCAGCGAGGCGCCCGTGCGGAGGGCAGCAGCGACAGCCGCCGCCACGCTCTGCCGCCCGCCTCCGCCCTCCGCCGCCCCCGCCGCCGCCGCCCGAGCCAGTGGGGCGAGAGCCGCCACCAGATCCCCGCTCGGGGGCGAGACCGTAGCCACCGCCTTGTCCAGGCCATCCTTCGCCGCCATCGCGGGGGGCCGCGGAAGGGGAAGGAGACAGAGCCGCTCACGAGCGCAGCAGCAGACGAGAGAGGCAAAGCGAGCACCTGCCCGCCTGGCGCCCACGGCAGGCTTGAGCCAAAATCCTTGAGCCAAATGGCTACGGACCCTCCTCCTCCTCCTCCTCCTCCTCCTCCTCCTCCTCCTCATCCTCCTCCTCCTCCTCCTCCTCCTCCTCCTCCTCCACCACCTCCTCTTCCTCCTCCTCGTCCATAAACGCCGCGTGGAGTGGCCTCCAGTACAGGATAAGTCCCCCCGTAGATCGTGCGCCACTATGGCCCGATGGCCGCGCAAGGGATTCTGATTTCCTCGAGCGCCCCGCGCGGCACCATGGGATCAGATTTTGGCGGTGACCTATCAGCGCTGGCGTTGGGAGGGCGATGACAGGGAGGACCTATCGGCGCTGGCGTCAGGAGGGATATTGGCGTTGGCGCTTGGCCAAGGGGCAGCGACGATGAGGAGAACCTCCTCCTTGCCGTCCTCCCTGGCTCGGGCTTCGGGGGGGGGGAGAACCGGCGGGCCGGAGGACGCGATGAGCAGGTCCAGCAGCAGGAATCTCCACCCTGGCACGCAAGCATCCGTTGGCCCCCGCCGATGTCGGGCGTTGGCAGAACCGGGCTTAGAGGGACCCGGTTCAGTGATGTGTCCTGGGGGACGCCCCCCCCCGCCCCGCCCCACTGACCGGAACTGCCGCCACCCGAGAACACACCAGCTGCGGCAGACCTGGTTGAGTGGAGGCTCCGAGGCCCTGCCACTGACCGGGTCCCTTACCTGGGGTCCTGGCTGTACCCGCCGACGGCCACCAGGCACCCGCACGTGCCCCGAGCCGCACGAGCGCCGCAGGCGCGCGCCGAGGCGCGCGGCAGCCCACAGCCACGGGGCGCCCGCCCGCGCGCAGTCTCCGCGGCCGCGGCGCCCGTGTCCGCGCGCGCGGCCTCTGCGGAGGCGGGCGCGCCACCCGGCGCCACGGGCAGGCGTCCCCCGCCTGGGCCACACACACGCCACGGCGGAGAGGAAGGCGTGCGCGGCAGCCCGCGGGAGCCGGCGCGCGGACGTTGCGCGGAGCGCGCCACCCCCTGCGCCGTCTCGGCGGCGAGCGGCGAGGGGGGGAACCGAGAGGGGGAGGAGGCCCTCTCGGAGGGTGGCGCGCGAAGGACACTGAACGCGCCACCCCCTACACCGTCTCGGCGGCGAGCGACGAGGGGGGGAACCGAAAGGGAGGAGGCGCTCTCGCAATTACACGGAACGCGCCACCCTACGCCGTCTCGGCGGCGAGCGAAGAGGGGGGGAATCGAAAGGGAGGAGGCCCTCTCAGAGGGTGGCGCGGCTTCTCGGAAGCCCTCCAGCCTTCTCTGACATGTTTTCTGCGTTTTCTGGGGAGGCGTCGCAAACTTCGCAGAAGGCTGAAAGCCAAGAGTTCCGAGCCCTCCGAGAAGCCCGCCCCTTCCCGCTTCTCCCCAGGCCCGCCGCCGACGATCGCAGTTGTCCCCGTCCAGGCCACATGGCACGGCGGAGATGCAGTTGACTCAGGGGCATATGTGCATCTATTTGCATGGACCAGTCCGCCTTGAGCATCTAGACGCAAGGGTTTTCGGATCTAAACGGGCTTGATGTATAAATGCGGTTTCGTACGATTGACTGAGTGTCAGTTAGTCTAGGTATGTAAGGGTCTGAGTACGAGTGGGTCTTAGAATGCGTAATTCAGAGTATGAGCGAGTCTGAGCGAGAGTGGTCTGAGTGCGGGTCTGTCTGGGTGTGAGTGAGCCTGCATGTGAGTCTAATGAGCACGAGCCTGAGTCTGAATGGGTTTGAGCATGAGTGAGTCTGACTGCGAGTAAATGAGTGGATCTGAGGGCGAGTGATTCTGAGTGTGTGTAAGCCTGAATGTGAGTGAGTATGAGTACGAGTATGATGATTATAAATCTGAGTCCGACTGGGTCTGGGGTGGGTCTAAGTGTGAGTGCGTCTGAGGGTGCGTAAATCTGAGTGTGAGTGAGTCTCAGTATGAGTATGGTGAATACGAGTCGGAGCCTGAGTGAGTCTAAGCACAAGTTAGGTTGAGCATAGGCTAGTCTGGGACATCCTCACAATCTGGGCCCCCTTGGGGTGTCGAAACCAGCGCCGCGCCAGAGGCATCCTCCGAATCTGCTTTAAGCGCAGACGAATCTGGCCAGCATAACAAACCGATCGAGACATCCCCTCAATCTGTGCCCCCAGAGTTGCGAAAACCAGCGCCTCGCGCGAGTCATCCTCAGACACTGCTCCGAAAGCGA